AGAGGCTGCGAGGACGAGGTGAGCGAAGCGCTCGAGGAGGAAGGAGCCTATAGAATAGGTGATGCGCTCGTGGTGCTTAAAGACGAGCAAGCTGTGCTTGGACGGCTTTTCCTCCTTGAACTTCTGGATCCCTTCCTCCAGTGTTTCCCAATTAAGATTGATGTGAGGCTGAACCCAGCGCATGATAATGTCGCGCAACACCATCGTTTCCTCGGCAGTCTTGCCCGGTAGCAAACCGTCAACGGCTCCGTAGGAGAGTAACGGATCGTCATCCCGCAATGGATCATAGACGGGGTGGAATTTCTGCAGAGAGGCCGATAATCCCTCGTCACGGATGTCGCTGTCGGCGCAGGCGGAGATGAAGATTCGATGTTCCCTCTTGTGACCGAGGAATTGCGAGACACTCTCGGTATCCAAAACACCATGACCTTGAAGCAACGCGGAGGCTGAAGAGCCGGAAGTTCGGTCCAAGCGTGCCGACTGGTCGCCAGAGATAGAGGAGGCGGGCTTCAGCAAGGACGCGAGGGAAGGCGTCAGGGACGGGGTCGCAGACGCCTCCATCGTCGCGGTGTTCGCGACCGGTGGCGCTGTAGCAGTTCCTCCTCCCGACAAGGAATCCGCGTCGAGGGGCGAAGTCGTCGTCTCATAGACATCTTCGCTCGGCTCCAGTTCGCTCCCCGAGCGTACTGAGGAGGAACTGACCGATTTCCCTGCGCCCACTCCGTGCGCAGGACCATCGCTGCCCAAGGTAGCCGGTTCCTTCAGTCGACGAGCGTCCATACGAGCTTCGCGAGCGCGGCGATCTGCGGCAAGTTTTTCAGCGGCGGCATCGCGTTTGGTTGCCATTTGCGAGTTGTTAGAACGAGACGGCGGTATAGGAGAAGGAACAGGTCTAGGTAGAGCGCCGTCACCGCCTTTGCCAGAGCTTTTGGCTTTACTCTGTTGTGCGGCCGGTTTATCGCTCGAGCCGACCGGGTTGGTATTCTTCTTGCTCCCCGTCGTCGCCATGAGGGACCCGGAATGGAGTAAGGGGCGTAGGTGAGGAGTATTTATAAGCTCAAGTTATTGGCAATATGAGCGGCGTGCTCGACGATCGTTACGCCAAGAGCGGGTGGGTGATCGATTGAGAAAAGATGGACGAATGGCGTGCTCGCGCCTCCTACCCTCTCGCGGAGGCGGACAGTAGCGGGGAACGCAAGCCTGAGGACTCGCGCTGAGAGACTAGTTGTCCAAGGTAGCGGAGCACAGGACTCGTAAAGAGGGCCGAGTCCTACAGGTTTTCGAATAACGTTTAAAGTAAATCCGACCCAGGGGCCTTGATGGAAGTAAAATGAAATTCCAAGATAACTGGCCACCGTAGCATGCGGTAGCGCGCCGGTTCTGGCTGTTGGAGATCCAGTTGTCGCATGTAACGGGTATCGTCGCGACGGCGGCTTCAAGATAATAAGAAAATGACTCTGCCAGAGAAGAGCCGTCGTCGAGTTGTCCTTGTTTCACAGAACGGAATTCGATGGCGAAAAGGTCTTCAACCAGCTTGATGAAGACCCCTGTGCGTCCACCACTGTGAAGCGGTCGGGCTTCGGCACAGGTATCTTCTTGTTGGTGAAGACCAAAGAGTAGCGCCGCGAGCGCTAAACCTGAGCTTGAAGTCAAGCTCAGCGCCGTCGGCGAGAGTGGTAGCCTCTCGCCCAGACTTCGTGTCACCCTGCGATTGGACCCCTGTCACCCAGGGGCGGAGAGCAGTTTAATGGATGCTCAGCCGAGGTGGTGGGCTAGACGTCGCGCACCACCTCCGTGCAAGATGCACTTAGATCGACATGGAAGTTTTGAGCAAAGTATAGATTGATTACTAATCTACAATCAGTAATCAAAAGTGCATAATCCGATGGGAGCGGAAACATGAAATATAGCATAGTCAATAGCGCGCATAGTAAGATATATAACTCTCCTTCACACACTGCATTCCGGAGCCGAATCGGCAGACCCTACCGAGCTGTGCAGATGTCTGCCGACCTCTGCCGATCCGCCTCGGTAAGGTCTGCTGACGCCTGCTCGACCGAGCCGTGCAGAGCCCTGTGGACCTCCCCTCTGCCGACCTCGACCTCTCTCCCTAATCTGTCTCAAATATTCCTCTCTGCATCCGATAGTGTCCGAAGGGTGTCCAGCTTGAATCAGATGCGGTAAGTGCATTGATTGGCGAAAGTTTGAGGCCATTATCTGCACCCGAGTTGTGGCGCCAAGCTGCCACGTGCTTGATCTTAATGTCACCATTCTTGTAACCGAAGCTTGTGGCAACCGCCAAGAGACTCTCACCGTCGAACTAAACGTCTACGGGCCCCTCGAAGAGCCACAAACGGCTTCAACAGGTGAGTCGGCCAGATTGACAAAGGTCGGCAGGCTCTGCCGAGGAGGTGTCGACCAACCTATGCCGACCCGCCTCGGTCGAGCCTCTCCCGATTTGGCCCCGGAATGCAGTGAAAAATATGGGTCGTCAAGTGAGTTGATCCGAATCAATCTACATTGAGGTTGAGATTAATCATGGCAAAAGCATTATGCAATTTGGAATGATACGTTCTTGACTTATCCAGAGGGAACGACTCACAAGGTACATGCTTTGAACCCGTAATTTCTCTTAACCGAGGGCATAAACTATCCAGACGGGTTCCACGGTATAATTCCGGTCCACGCACTGACCGTTTAATGCCGACGTTGTCGGAGACCATTTGTCCGGGAATAGAGAATAAAGAAAGAGCGACAATGTCTTCTTCCAAGGAGAGGAAGCATAATGTACACTTCATTTCAGGGCCAGACTTAATGCTGTTAACATGAAAGTCATCAACTTCTCATGAAACGAAGCCACATTGTTATATGGCGCCACATTGAATCCATGGTGAACACGAACTCGGTGGTTCAACTGTGGCCTTCAACATTCACTGAGCCGATGCCGTTAGAGTTTCTTTGGAATTGGTGCTCTATGACGAAAGCACAAGCTAAATATTCAAATCCTATACATGAAAAGACAATGAACACAGCCACAGATCAAAAGCGTGATAAAAGCGTGATATATCAGGTGATAGTTATGAGTTTGTTCCCATGGAGGCGCTGTGCGCTGCGAGCGTTAGCGAGCGGCAGTGCGGTGCTGCTCGGAATCCGCTGTGTGCGGGTGAGCTCGGAATCTGCTGTGCATGGGTGAACTGGGAATCCACTTTGCATGGCGTCTCTCCGTGACGAAGGCACGGGCAATATTCTTGTCCTATAAGATAGGCGCCATCCGCATCCATCGAGTCACGTGATGTAACAGTGTGTCATTCATTGTTTCCTCAACTACATGTGGTGATCAAGAAGGATTCAAAATTTAAAACCACAGAAATGTAGAGCTTCCCTTTAGGAACAATTCTGTGGTTCCAGATTTCCAATAGCTATCTTCAAAAAAAAGTTTATTGCCTTTTTTGGAAAGAGCCCTCAGAAAGCCAAAAGAAGTTGTTTCGGGCACAATTTTATTTTGAGACTAAAAATTTTGCGCGCTGCCAAAAGGGAAGTTCACACGATCACGTGATGTCGTCATCGTATTTCTGCCTCACCCCTAACACGTGTTTGCAGCACTTGCTCTTTACTTTCATCTTCCTACATCTCTCAACACTTCTGCACTTATGCCATTAAAGAGAGGAAAATCCAAGGCCCAGAATCTTGGGAATTTTGCACTCAAAGTCAGTGTTAAGTCTTTGACTTGATGTAAATTCAAATCCATGTGCTATACAGCGTAAGGGTGACAAAGTTCAGCAAAGTGATGAAGATCAGCCCAGCAAACATTCCAGAAATGCATCTCCAAACCAGTCTTCAAAGGACAATAGTGACAACTCCCCAGATGCTGATACAGATCCGTCCAATAGACAGGATGCGCAAAAGCTGCATGGGCCGCATGCGGCTTCATACGGCTTTTGTGCATTGTGCAAAGCCGCACCAGAAATTTTGTTTGGGGAGGGTTCCATACCATATCTGCGAATATAATACATGCAATGAAAGGTGTTGGTCATGTCTGGTGCATCTGGTGTATGGTGAGCGTTGAATTGATTGTGGCATGTGTGATGTCATCCCATCAGCCGCACGGTGATGTTGGAAATGCCGTCAAAATATGGCATTTCTCACGCTTGCTCTGCGACTGAATTTAATGATACTCAAGAGGCACAGGGTTCAGGCCTAGAATACAGGTTTGGAGGCCATTCAACTCATAATTATATATCAAAAACCAAAAATCTCGTGCGGCTTTGCGCAAGTGCCAAAAGCCGCGTGCGGCTCGTGCACATCCTGTCTAATATTTCTGACTCTGACAATGAAACTGAGGCCGGAATTGAAATACAGGAAGAGAATGATATACCTCATCCTAGAGACCAGGCAGATTTGCTACAATGGCTTCAGCTTAGTGATGCCCATCTAGATTCATTGCCAACAACCACTGCTCCTGTATGTCGAGGTGCCTATCACAGTCGGAAAATTGGGGTGGACATCTCTGAACGTCAATGTTGGAGGAGCATTGTGCAAAGCGAGGCTATGAGGTTATTTTTTTTCCAAAGTTCCACCCAGAGCTTAATTTTATTGAGCAATGCTGGGGATATGCGAAACGCATCTATAGGATGTTTCCGGAATCTTCGGAGGAGGAGGAATTGGAGCAGAACATGCTCAAGGCCCTTGATTCAGTTCCACTTGCCTCCATGTGTCGCTTTGCTGTGCGGTCATCCAGGCTTGCCAATGCATATTTTCATGGCCTTGATGGAGCAGATGCAGCTTGGGCCAATAAGAAATTTTGTGTCATTCTCGCGCATTTTGATTCGTCCTTCTTCGTTCAACCCAAAATAGAGGTGGGAAGAGATGGTATTTTACTTCATGGTTGACTGTGGCTTTGTAGCTCGACTGTTTTTGTTCTCATTCATTTTTTCCATCAACCCCGAAGCGCCCCCGACCGCCGAGGCCCTTCTGTCTGTCCCGGGAGTGAGTGACACCACGCCCGCCTAGCTCAATCGGTAGAGCGTCAGACTCTTAGGTCCAGGCGGGTCAATACCTCTCCAACGGTATCTGAAGGCTGTGGGTTCGACCCCCACGGTGGGCTATTCTCTTTTGTTTTGCGGCTCTCCTCATCCAAAAAGAATGTAAACAATTTGTCTCCACACACGCGCCATTGTCTGTGCTTTGCCAGACTCAACACTTCAGTATTCGTATATGAGCATCCTGTCTGCATCCGGAAAGACGCGCTTTGGATCTCAAGCAGCCGATTTTTTCTGGAGAATTGAGGGTCTATTGAAGTCGCTGGAAGACACAAGAGACTCTGATCAAAGGTAAAAAATTTCTTCAATCAATCGAACTGCTGAACGCGCCGGATCATTCATCATGTAATATAGTGCAGGACAGGGTGGTTGAATTCGAGTCCTGTTGGTTACGGCCATGATGACGAGATAGATGGTCGAGGGCGGGCTGGCTTCCGCGGTGAGCTTGTTGGTGAAAGAAAGACCTTGGGAAATTACTTGGCACTCAATTTTTGCCAAACTACGCACCACTCCCGGAAAATGTCTACATAGTGCCGGTGATTCCCGGAAATTGCCGGGTGCCGAGTTTCAGCGCGCACTCGAATTTATTGCGCTCCATTGACAATTGTCGCGTGCCGAACTGCTCGCCGCTCGCGTGCACCTTCACTCACCGTTCCGCTCAAAATACCTGGCCCCTAATTCACGCACCGCTTCGCTCAAAACACTTGAGCCGCGGTGGTCACTACCTTCGCTCGCTCGACCCACCGCGGGGGGTCTGCCGTCTCCGCTTTCTCGCTTCGCTTGAACGCGTGACGTCATCCGCCCGATCCTCGCTGCGCTCGAGCGGGACAAGGCTGCGGGTTCGACCCTTTTGTCTTTTGACCCTCCTACATCTTTCATACCAACGTCCATCCTTTTCGTATAAATAATGTTAAAGACGCCAATCCGTTTGCAGCTCTTCATGGTCAGAGCTCAGAAGTTGAACTCGTCTATCGCATCTTTGATACCTGTACATATCAGCTCTGCAACGGCATAATTTTAGAAGCAAAATTGAGCGCGCAGAGAAGTTTTCCAAGACTGCACCTTCAACGGATCGAACTGCACACACATTTGGAAAAAAAAATCTTTCCCGATTTGGAAGTTCATCAATTTTGCTCTCCATCAAAAAAAAACCCAAACATTCTCGTGTCCGATTTCGTTTCCGCCAGTCGGTGGGATTTTTCAAGCGTCCGATTTTCCGTCTCACCCGGACGCTCAATAACGTCTTGACTCGACAGGAGGGCGGATTCGGAGATCTATCACTCAAATGGAACATGCGCTGGCCCAGGTACATAGTCACTGCGCTCGAGATCCCGGGTTTGTAGCGTGTCTAGCTCAATCCCGCCGCCAGAATCGTCGTATAGTGGGTTCGCGAAAGAGCGTGATTGCGTAGTGGTCGAGAAAATGCCAGTGCGGTCGACAGAATGCAAGTTCAGCATGAGCCGCGACGTTAGGGTTACGGACATGCTATCATTGGTGTCATCGATAGAAGTATCCGCTCAGTAAATTCTAAGCGTACCAGCTGGCCATGGTTGACAGGCACCCGCGAAGCTGAGGCTGTGAGGCGTGAACCTCCAAGATGCGAAGTCCGTTGGGAGGGAACTCACTCCGGCGATCTGGTGAACTGGTTAGTTTCAAACCAGAAATGGAGCGGTTTCTTTACATAAAATGTCAAGATGTTCCCAAAATTCAACACGGCCATTATCCTGTACATTGTGAATAGCGGCACCGCCGTTCCAAGGTATACCTTACGCGAAATAAATGGCACCTGTCGGCAAAGCACAACAGATGAGCGACGTACCCGGATATATTCGAGAAGCATACCATCTCGAACCAATAAGCTCAATAAAGGAGTATGCCACCGACGGGTTGGAGACTCGGCGCGCGTCTGAAACGATTTATAGAATAACGCTACAAAGATCATCTTGTCGGAGTGAGCTTGCCAACAAACTTGCAAGGTGACAAACGCCATACCACGTCGTAAATTAGCAGGGCCTCCCATGGGACCGCGAGGTCTGCCACAAAATATAAGCAATGCGACTACCTAGTAGGCATGTACTCACAGACACCCCTGAAGATTAGGAAAAACGTAAACAATCAGCGAAGGACACCGGGAAAGTACATGCTGTTTCTGGGAGTTATCGATGTGGCATCCGACAACATCCGTCTCGGGAACACCTTTCCTTCCAACAAGGGCCCACTATGAAATATTCATCAAAGAACCCAGTAGATTCATGAATTACAGAAGAACGCACACAAGAAAGCCCCAGCAAAACAGCTCCGAAGCCTAGCATGCCAACATAGACGCGAAGGTCCCGGCCATAGAGAGCGTAAATCCGTAGCGTGAGAAGCACTGATTTGATCCTCAGCATCACCGTCGACATTGGACCGATGAATTGCGCACAGCAAACGAGACACTGGTTGATCACAAGGAGTACCTGGCGGAATAGATTGACATGTGTGCACCTTCCCAAAATTTAGCCGGCATTCTGGGCATGTACACAAACATTCTGACCACTAGAATGGAAGGGACACCAAATCTATGAAAGATGGATGAAGTATCATGGTTGAATCCACGCACCGATATCGGCACGGCGGCGAAGTGGAACACAGTTATCGACACATCTCCAAAGAACGCCAGATACCGATTCAGGAAAAAGTAGTATGTGCTCCGCGTCTTGGCCTTCCTCCACAGAAAGCGCACTTCGTCGCCTAGTCCGGGACCTAAGCTTCAACTTCTGCCTCAACAATCGACAGTGATGGACATACTAAATGTTATACAATGGTCCCAGTACAGAAGGCTTGAAAAGCTGATGTGAGTGAAATGGCAGTAGGCAGGATCGTGGCGTACCTTATCGAAATGAGGTATAGCTCGTTTTGCAGACGGCTGTGTTTGCGAAGGGAATGAGACGGCGCAGATGCGATTGCGAAACCCGGAAGACTGACAGTGCTCGGGCGAGGGTAATCCCTTGTTCCTCCATAGTAGAAGCGTTGCGCCGACGCACTGCAATACGGCGAGGGGAGAGAGGAAGGTTGAGTACGAAAATAGTTGCATTCCAGGTTCCACACCCACGGGTAGTCTGCACCTGGACAGATCTGCCGTCCATTTGACAGCTAACGTCATGACATTATCACCATGTATGGGAAGGGTTCGAGTTGTGTACCGTAAATATATAGGAGAAACGGAGTCCATTATTGGTTTAGCACAAACCTGATATGTTGGGCTCAACTTGTGCGCAGTGAGAGTGGAGCGGGTGTTGGAGACGTCAAGTATTGCCTAATCACATTCGTGTGTCGTATCAGGAACAAGACCGAAGCGGCACAGTAGCGATGAGGAACGCACGACAGGGAGAGTGTGTAGTGAATGTGTAGAACTCCGATCAGTCGGGCTCCTGTCATGTCCAAGTCATGTCGGTCATTTAAGCTTGATCTGCGCGGGTCGACCAGCACAACTTTCCAGTGCTAAGAAATGGAGGCGATGCTTGTCATAGTCTGTCGGGGCAACGTGCAAGTGTCGGGGAAATAATACATTCGTAGACTGGCAGTCATATATGCCACGTCCATGGCAGAGGCGTAGCTTGCGTCTATTTGTTCGAGAACTCAACGCGAATCAGAATTGTTCGAAGTACTGGACAATGAAATTCCGTCGAGGGAAATCTGGGAGGGAGAAGCGTCGGTGCGCACAAGGGCGTGCCGAACGTTAATCATCATTCGGCCGCTAATGATGGACGGCACGGCAACTGCAAGGGCAGTGAATGCCTCGAGGGATGTTTTCTGAAATAGAAGATTGCGGAATTAACAGCAATGTCTGGAGGTACAGAAAATCTACGACGTACGGTATTTTTGACCCAATGGATCAGGTTGAACACATAGACGCATTGTATCCTGCAGAGAAGTGAGACGCATACAGCTGATATCGGGGAACACCGACGCGAGGTAATACATCACTGAATCGCGCACCAAAATATGTTGAAGTGCTTGATGGCCAGTGGAGTGGACACGCTGGTAACCCTTGTACATAACCAAGACGCAGAGAAGAAATTCGAAACTGGGAAGATTTTCCATAGTAGCACAAATATCTGTAGAGCACGGCGTACCTGGTAACTGGAACCCAAAACACCCAGAGCCACGGCGGAACGGCGGTAACATTACAGCGTACCATGTCGCCCACGGTCTCGGCAACGACTAAAATCCGCAATATCAGTATAGAATATCAAGATAGAGTTAGGATCGGACCTATAGTTTCCGAAGACGCGAGGCCGAACAGCCCGATGACAGCCAACACTTCGACTGAAAAGGCGCTGATGACGAGGGCTGCTATTCTGGGAGAAGCGTCGTACAGGGCGTAGATTCTCAGTTGTAAAATAACTTCATAACAATATTCGCTCAAGAACGGCGCAAATAAGCATTGTCATACCCTGAATGGCCCATGAAATAGACATCCCCATGCCGCCTTCGAAGCGGAGCCACGAATAGCCTGGGTAGTTGTGGCCTAATCAGCCTCACGAAGAAAATATCATGCAAGGTATAGCGTACATCTGTGAATTGCTCAGTCTGCAGAATGAGTTGTGAGATTCCAGTGCTAACAACTGGGATGAATTTTGTGTTAGCGTATCAATCTGAATATGTGCAACACTGTTAACGCACGGAATCGGACAGGGTGGGTGATACCGCGACTTGAATCTGTCAATAGGACAGAATTGCAGAGCGGAGAGAACAAACCAAAAACTCCAATATTGGGGGGTATCAGAAACTAGATTCTCCTGTGGCCAATTCAACTCACGCGTTAAGGATGATACCACCGTATCGGATCTGCGTGATCTTAATGCAACTCGGACGGTGATAGAGACGCCCCAACTCACCCACACAAAAAGAAATGTAGCATGTGTCCATGGGCGCCGTTTCTGCGCAGTTTCAGTATTCTGTGCGTCAGAATTCAAAGCAGCCCACAAAACTCACCCAAAAGAACTCCCGCTACGACACACATGAATAATCGTGGAAGGGCGAAAAATGGGGAGCGCCCACCTCGTCCTCGAGCGTGATGACT